CTTTTAAAAAGTCTTCATGAATGATTTTAGCACTCTTCCACCCAAGCGTCAACATAAAGTTTATGTTTGTCCTTGCTTCGATTTTAGCAGAATTCCTATGGTTTGAATGGAGCTTTTTCCAACTGATGTCTTATGCTGCTTAGTGCCTCAGATTAGATCCTGTTCAGACATGTGACAAGTTAATATGAGTTTATTTTGGTGCAAAACAACTTTCAACCCCATGCATAGATTTTTTTTCACAACACACATTTTCCTTGGACCTTTTGAAGACCTCTCATATGTACTGAGAGTCCTAAGTAGAAGACACAGTGTGGTAGGCACGCTTGGGGAATGCCTCTATGCAATATCCAGGGATCCCTAGCTTCAAGAAACAGTGCAAGAAATAGAACATATGAGTATTACCATACTTGGAACACAGGGTCAGCAGTGGCAAGTGCCCTAGGAAACAGTGGCAAACTATTATGAGGACTTAGACAACAGTGTGGAGCACATGCCCAACCATTTATGTCCTTATCCTGGGGGATAAGACCCTAAAGGCCTTATCCTAGAGTAGGCCCTAAAACACCCAGCATTCAAACTGAACAGTCCCTGAGGCTCAAGAGGTCAGTTACACACACACACACACACACACACACACACACACACACACACACACGGGCCACCCAGCTAGCTAGACCCAGAATAAAACCTGGTTTGCTAATCCTGCTCCCGTGTCTGCCCCAGGTTCCAGTCTTGAGCAGAGGTTGACAGTCATTCCTGATCCTCCTGGCAAACACCCCAAGTTTAGCACATTGATGATTTACTACTTTCAAAGTGAGATTTGGGGGAGAGAGAGAGAGAAAGAGAGAGAGAGAGAGAGAGAGAGAGAGAGAGAGAGGAGAGAGAGAGAGACTGATTTATGCATGTACAAATCAGGCAGCCATAGACTGACTAATCCCATAAGGAATGGCTAAGTGCAATGCCCAAGTCAGATCACTGCGAGGCAAGTTGACAGGCCTCAGAGCCCTAGAGTAACATTCTAAGTATCCCCATTGTTTAGACCAAAGGAACCCTGTTTTCCGTCAGCAGCTGCAAGCAAGAGCTGGCTAAGCCATTGCTGCTGCTGCTGCTGCAGCCTGAGTAAAGGGAGGGTGGGACATCTTACACAGGGCAAGAAGAAGGAGGTGAACGTTCCACCACGCATCGGACTCTTCACACAGGACTCACTTTATCCTCAAACACCCGTGTGGGTGGGACTTGTTTGTGGCCAGTGGGTGGCTTCCAGCTTACGGCAGCCTCGTGTGCTCAGAGTAGCGCAGCGTTTCCCAGCACCTTCGGGAAGCAGATCACCACGCCTGCCTTCCGAGGCACCTCTGGGTAGATTCCAGCCTTTTAGCTAGCACTTGAATGCTTCATGGTTCATGCCACCCAGGCTATCAGTGGGGGTGAGATGATTCCTGTCATTCTGTGGATAAAGCTGATTTGGGGAACAGAGATGCCTTGCTCAGAGCCATCAAGTAGGTAGCACAGCTAGGATTGGCATTCAAGTGTGTCTGTTCAGGCTCACAGAGCCTCGGGGTCCCCTGGACTCTTCTCTCTGTTGTGATTTTTATCTCCAGCTGTCTTCAGCCACACGCCACTCTCCAGAGAATCACTTGGTATCAATAGGCAGACGCTGTCAGCGTGGCCGGATGCAGCACGGCAACAATCCTTGTACGCTTGGATACAGTCCTCTCTCCTGCAGCCTAGCCCTTCCCGTCTTTTACCATTTCCCATGCAGACGTGCTAGCAGCAGTAAGCCATCAAACTGAAGCAAAATTAAACCCTGTTGTTTCCCCAACCCCACGCTGTCGTGACATTACAGCTACCAGAAGGCAACCTCCCCGTGTGAGAGAAGGAAATCGGAGCGGCAGGGCTCCCCTGGGGCGTGGCAGTGCCAGGCACACAAAGAGTGTGGGACAGCCCTGACAGAGGCGCGGCCGGTGTGCTCCTGACAGCCACACTTCTCTCTGCTTCTGAAAGCACCCTTGGCCTTCACCCGCTCCCTCCGTGGCCCTGACCAGATTGTTCCCACCCACTCGTCAGCCCCATGGTGGACAGGCTGGTTAGCAGTCCCCGCCTGCCCAGCTTTGTTCCCGTGTTTCTGAAGCTGGGCGTTGGGAGTGTGTGGCAACGAGCTCTTTCCTGCCGCTGCCATCTTCTCTGCGTGGCTTCTCCTCAGGAATGTTCTTTGAAATGGGGTATGCTGAGTCTTGGCTCTGTTCTGGCAACCTCCCACCGGTTTCTTTCTTCCGGTGATTGGTGCATTTTATCCAGAGGCCCTCTCAGGTGTGCCCGGAAGGCACAAGCTCTGCTGATTCACTCCGTATGCCCTGGAGGGCGGGTGGATGTAGGGCTTGGTGAACGGATAATGTGAAGTAATACAAGGTCAGCCCTGCCCCAAGTTAGTCCTGCTGAATCAGTCACTTTTGTGCATTTAACACTCATCCAAGGGCTTAAGAGCTGGGAAAAGGGGGTTGAGATTAAGGCATGCTGGGTAAAGGGGGCAGAAGAGAGAAAATGAACCATATTTTAAGTGTTCTAGAAAGCGTTAGTCACTTTGCAAAAATTGTCTGATTTGATGCAGTCGTGCACAAACTTCAAACACTTTTTCATTATTCTTGGAGATGAGGCAATTGAGGCTCAGGGAGGCCACATTGCTCACTGGTAGCCTAAACCAGATTCTCACCTAAGACCACAATTCCCAAGATCATGGCTCTTGGACTTGACCACGCCAGTAGGAAGCAAGTTTCTTGAGGGAAGAGACTGTACGTCCGAATGCTTATATCTGTGACACGGCCCTGCACAGTGAGGGCCCCAGACATGTTAAATAACTAAAATTTAAAAGTAGGGAGAAGTCTCACATCCGTGTAGCCACTTCACAAATATTGATTGAATGTCCATCATGAGTCAGACACTGTTCTGGGCCTTGGGGATACAGCAGTGCATAAAAATATTCTAGTCTGGGAGACAGACAATTAAATGAGTAAATTACACAGTGTGACAGATGGTGAGAAGTACTGAGGAAGAAAATAAGGCAGAGCAGGGCGTATTGGAAAAGCGTTAGGGTAGGGAGTCTAACCCTTCAGCTGGAGACGGGGGCATTCACTGAAGCAGTGGCATTTGAGCAAAGCCCTGACGGGGGTCTGGTAATCTAGGAATGCAGGAACAGGCCACCCAGGAAGAGGGACGAGTAAGTGCGCAGGTGCTGCGGCTGGGTCACAGTGGCTTGTTGGAGAGCAGCAGGGGGGCTGAGGTTGGAAAGCTGTGATGGGGAGGAGCGTGGCCTGAGATGTGGTCAGAGGGAGGGGCGGTGGTGCAGATTGTCACGACCTTGACTTTTACTCTGAGTGTGTGGGGGGGGTGTCCCTGGGAGATTGTCAGGCAGAATAGTGGTCTGATTGCAGTTGTAGCCCTTTGTTCAGCCTGCATTGTCAAGAAGAGAAGTTAGAGGGTGAGGGCAGAGACAGGTTAGGAGAGAGGTGTAATGATATGGACAAAATAGGGTGAGGCTTCAGATCAGGGTGGAAGCGGGCAGATGGTAAGGTGGGTCTAGATTTGAGATATCGTTTGAAGGTAGGAATGGCAGGGTTTGCTGATGAACAGAAGTGGGATATGAGAGAGAAAACAGTCCAATGGTGCTGCTGAGGTGTGAGACGGAGCAACTTGAAGAACGAAGTGCTCACTCCCTGAAACAGGATGGAGGTGCTCACTTCAAGGTCGGTGGCGCAGACCCACTAGCTGCTCTGTCTGTTCTTGTACAGGTTCCCAGTTTCAGAAAGCCCCTCCTGGTCACTATGAGTCAGAATCAACGGTGTGGCAGTGGGTTTGGTTCTAGTTTGGAACTGGAAAAAGTGCTGGGAAAACATGGGCAATCAATTCAGGAGGTCAGCGGAGGTCCTGCTAAGCTAGAGATACCGTATATAGGCGAGTATAAGCCAACCCGAATATCAACTGAGGCACCTAATTTTGCCACAAACACTGCATAAACAATGTGCTGAAAAACTCAGCTTATGCACGCGTATATACGGTACCTGTTTTAAAGTGGAGGTGTCAAGTACAGAAGAGGAACACCACAAGAGTGTAGTGTGCTGAGAATCCAGTGAAGAGTGTGTCTCAGGGAGGAGGATTTGACCAACAGCACTCCGTGTTCATCAGTACAATGGTCGGTGGATTTAGTCTCATGGGCACCCTTGACATCTTGACCATTGGTTTTCATGGAGGAGTGGGGCTTACAGGCTGATGGAAGGACTGTCAAGAAAGTAGGAAGGAGAGAAATTGGAGTCTGAAGTATAGACAACTCTGCCCAGGGCTGTAAAGGGTAGGAGAGAAATGGAGCGGTGGCTGGGAGAAAGTGGAATCAAGAGATAACTTTTTTAATATAAAAGAAATCATGGCATGCGTACATGCTGATGGGGACAACTACTATATATGTGAGCGTTGACGAGCGAAGGACGGAGGAGCGGGAGAGGAGAGAGAGAGAATTAGAGTACGGTGGTAAATTTCTGAAGCCCGTGAGAATGGAAATAAATTGCTGAAGTAGTGTCCCTTGAAAGGCTGAGAAAGGGTGGAATTGAGTGTACAGCGGAAAGCTTGGGCTTCAGAGTGGGGATGGTTCATCTCTAGTTGCAGGAGACAAGTGCAGGTGGGTTGGCAGCTGTGGAAGATCTTTCCTGATTGCGTCTATTTTCTTAGTGAAGTAGAAACCAGAGTGGTTAACTGAGAGTGAGGGTTCAGGAGGAGTAGTGAGAGATGTGAAGGGAGAGGAACAGGTGTGGTCCAGTTTCCCAGACAAGTGGGGGCAGGGTTTGGACTTGGGAGGTGTGTGATGTCAGGTAGCACTAACGGATCATTTGAAGGAGAAAATATGTTGAGAAGGAAGTTCTGAAGGGTGAATTGGGGCTCCAAGAAGAAAATAAATTGTTGAAAGTCTGCAACACAGGATTTTTCATTTTTTTAGATGGAAATGGAAAGGTTCTTACCTCACGCGGGTCATATTTTTCAAGACTCCCTCCTTCATTAAACTCTGTCAGGACATCCTTTATCTTCTTGGAGGAGTCTGGAGAAACACGATCCACCAGGGGGAGAAAAAACACTCATGAGAGACAGCCAAGTCAACACCCCCTTCTGTCCGGCTGCAGTGAGGGTGACGCAGCCCTTCATTCACAGGGAGGTATGTGGAAGTGACATCCTTATCTGCTCTTCTGCCTCCACTTTCCTTTCTTCAGTCTACTCTCATCTGCTGTCTAAACTACCTTTCCAAAGCACAGATGATCAGATCATGTCCCAGGGAAACCCCTTCAACGGTTCTCAGCTTTCTCAGGATAACGCCTACCTCCCTTAGCTTGATACGCAAGCCCTGGGTGATCTGGACTATTCTACAGGTATTCCTTATTCTCACCATACCCTCCAACTTATCCTGATTTCCTGCCGCATCAAACTCGTTTTCTGTAATCCCCCGAGGACCTTGTATACCCTTTCCCAGGGCCCTCGCTGTGTCGGGCACACTTCACACAGTTCTCAAGATCCAACGTACACGGCAATGCCATTGCAGAGCCTCAGCTGCAGCATCATTGCCATTTTCTCCTCCGCCTCCACGTGACTTGCGCATAACTCTATAATACCGCTTGTTAGAGTGTTAGAATTATTCATTAGCTTGCCTGGACTCTGTTAAGAGTTCTAAGCTGGGCTTCTTGAGAGCCATAACTGGCTGGTGAGTACTTTGTGTATAATACCCAAATCTGGCATGTAAACAGTGTTCAGTAAAACTATATATTAGATAAGTGCATAAACATCTGAACAGAAATTAAAACACTTCAAAATGCATTAGTTACAATAAGATGGTTGGGCATTAAGCCGCACGAGGCTCTGTCCTTGGTCCTGAACCACCAGTAAAGAGGAGGGCAGGGCGATTTCTTTCTTTTTACTTCTTGTGAACTGGGGGGAGGCTTGAAGAGGAGATCACCAGTTTTGCACTGAATTGCTCATACTTACTCTGTGTCATCGAATTCACTGCAATTCCCTCAGCAGAATATCACCCATTCCATCTCCTACCTGTGTCTCCTGTCGACATCCCTCTCCTCCTTTCCTAACTCTGCTGAACTTTACCCTGGAGTAAATGTTGTCCCCTTGATCCCAATTGTCAATCTGTCTAAGGTGTGTGTACTTCACTGGTGTTATCGTTCCCTTTGTAGACCTATCTATTGTTCGCTTGAAAACTGATCTATTTTAATGAGTATAGACCTAAAGGGTGGCTAAGGCTTCCCTCAATCTGAATAGCAAGACTTATCTTCTTTATGATTCTGAGTTTTGTTCCACATTTTTCTTCCCCTCTATCCAGGACCCTTGAATAAAATCCCTTTCAGAGCAGTTGGTAGTGTAGCTGGGCACCATCTAGTTCACAGATGCCCAAACGTATTTGTCCGATTGCCTCTTTTTCAGAAAAAAATTGCTCAGCACCCCCTTGGACACACACACAAATTGAAAACTTTTGTACGATAGCCCATAATCCAATGTAAAGTGTAAGTATCTGCTTTTTCAGCCCACCTGGATCACTCCAAAAAGTACATGCCCCTGCCCCAACTCACTACCATAGAGTTGAACTTGACTCACAGTGACCCTATAGGACAGGGTAGAAGTACTCCTGGGAGTTTCTGAGTAAAAAACCCTGTATTTCTCCTGTAGAGCAGCTGGTGGTTTCAAACTGCTGATCTTGTAGGTCAAAGCCCAATGTGTAACCACTACACCACTAGAGATCCTTTCCAGCATCCCACCAAAACCCAAACTCAATGTTGACTCATAGTGACCCCTGTGGGTTTCTGAGAGCTTTCTTTCTCCCTCAAAGCTGCTGGTGGTTTCATATATATATATATATATATATATATATATATAATCATATGTATATGATAAGTGTCCTGCTTTTATATATGTGTGTGTGTGTGTGTGTGTGTGTGTCCTGCTTTTGCTTCTCTAGAGAACTCTGCCTAACACAGTTGGTCTGATTTTTATAAATTATTTTAATTTGTTTACTTGGACATGTCTTCATTTCATCTTTGTATTTTGCTGGGTGTATGATTATTGGCTGGCAATGTTTTTTCTTTCAGGTTATATAACTCGTGTGTGTGTGTGTGTGTGTGTGTGTGTGTGTGTGTGTTGTTGATCCCATTGCCTTCTTGCCTGCCTGGCTTCTTGTGAGAAATCAGAACTTAGACTTACCGGTTTCTTCTTTGTAGGTCAGTTTTCATTTTCCCCAAGCTTCTCTCAGGATCCTTTCCTTGACTTTAGTGTTGGACAGATTGTTTATGATATGTTTTGATAATTTTATTTTGGAGCTTATCATATTTGGGGGTTTGTTCAGCTTCTTTTTTTTTTTTTTTTTT